GAAGTCGGATTTCGGTGTTAGAATATGAAATGCATTTGATGCCACTGAACATTCCTCTCAGAACTATAAAATGGAAAATGAAAACAAATGGCGGTAAGCAATTTTGCCCGATGGATTTGGGAGTTTTATCAGGTCGGCCTCACCTTAAATCCATTTCGTTTGTTTGAACGTGTACATTGGTATGAAATGTATTTTTGTCAGTTTCATTTGAGATGGTTCGTCGACTAATACGCTACGCTCTGGTTTGCTTTGCTTTGCTCTTTTTTGGCATAATGTGCTTTTCGAGTGTCAGTCTACATGCATGGAAGGAAAATGTTTGTCGTAACGTGCAATGGTTTGCAATGCATACGATTGCCACAAACAATATTCACTCGGCGAAGAATATACGTGGTTACAATTTCCTTGTGTATAAACTTATTTGTATTAAGTGGCCTCTCGACTAACATTCCGATCGGAATTTTGTTGTTGTTTTTTTTTTCTCTTTCTCTCTCTTCTTTCTTTTGTTTTTCAATGCGCTCGGCCGAAAGATGTTGTTGGCTTTTTAGTGAGTGAATGAGTAGTTTCGATTCGTTTTGTGTGTTGTGCGAACGTGCAAGAGTTCGAGTTGTGCTTTTGTCGCCTCTTTGTTGGATATTTTCTTGTGCCATCATCTCATTACACTCAATGTGTCTATATGTTTGTTTGTGTATTGTAACAGTGCGCGCAACTGCGAATGGCGATTGGCACATTTCTCATCATTTTCCCGCTCTTTGTCTGTTGACGCTTTCGGGTTTTGCAATTATATGTTTTGTTACTCATATTCTCTCTCGCTCTCATTCACTTTATTTTGTGTGTGAACGGCATATTTTAACGATGCTGATATATGTCCATTTCATATAATTCGGCTTCGTTTTATTAATCGTTTTATTTCATTTATGCTTATGTGGTTTTACTTGGCACTCTCATTGATTCTTTGTGACTTTATACTTTATCCATGGGACCGCATAGACTGTTGTGAGTTTGTTGTGTAAGTGCATATCCGTCCATCTCTTTCTCATTTTGTGTATATTTGGTATTTCATTTCCCTAGGCATAAGTAATTTTTCTTTTCCCTAAGTTAGAGTCTTTGCCACATTTAACAAACAACAACAACAATGGCAACAACAATAGCATCAGCTAAAGCATTACATTTGCCGTACGTTTGGCGTCTCATTACATATCATCGAGCGAATGAATTAGCAATGGACAATTGATATGCTTGCTGTTTTCATTCTGTGAAACTAACAAATTCGTTGATATAAATATATACACACATATTATATATATAAGTGCATTCACTACAGTCGGCTTCGATTCTCTTTTTCTTTCTTTCTTTCTTTTTCCTCTCTCTCTTCCTCTCTCTCTTTCTCTCTCTTTCTCTATCGCAGTCGGTTGAATTCTGGCTTTAATATTGCTCCGTTTTGTTCGTTTCATCCTTTTTTCTTTCTAATTGCTTTGCTACGTTATACGTTGCTACGTGCATCGATTCATCGGTTTGCTATTGCTGCTGTTATCCGCCGGACAAACAGTGAGAAATGTTGGAAAAAGCGAATTAAAAACATTCCGTTGTCATTCCAAAAAATCGCCTAACTTCTTCCTGTTTCAGATAAAGTGCATTCGATAATTCGATTTCGAGCAAAGTTCATTGGTGTTGCACTCAATATATACTAACTGCTAAGTATTTTACTTCGCTGTTTGTGATGCTGGTATGTGTGTGTCGGTATGTGTTGTAGCATACTCTGATTCTCTGTCGTTTTGCCGATTTTCATCGTCAATCCCAAATACGGTGATGCTCACACACCGAGACTTTGAATTGTGTGGTTCATTGCATATTATATTGCATCGGTCGTATCGGAAAATGTTGCCATTCAAATGGCAAATTTGAAAATGCGCTTAAGAAATGACAGACCCATGATATTCAGTATGAATTTATGTAAATTGTGCATTTGACCAGGGATTATGCATAGCTTTAGGATAGATTATCTAAATTTGTTTGAATCTGTTGTTTTGCTCTCTGCCTCATTACGATTTTCAATCGTCTATTTTTTTTAAATGGAATGCACACGTAAACTGCATACAATTTACTTCTCTATATCAATTTTTCCACTGTTGCACAATTTATACGATATATATTTAATTTCTCATTCTCTTCATAACATACACACACACATACATGTTCGAAATCCGTGAGTGGTTCAGTCAATAGATAAAATCGCACAAATTAAACAACGGCCAAACAAATGCAAAACAGAACACGAATGCGCTCCAATCTCGAAAACAAAGCAAAAAAATCGGCACAAGTCAACGGAGAGCCAGAGAATAATGGCACACAATGTGAGTGTTGGTTGCGATCGGTCGTAATGAACGGCATAAATAGTTCAATGGTTTGGCTGTAATCTCAGACGTTAGAATGAGATGGAAATCGGAAAATGTTTTGAAAGTGCTTAGAACACACATATTTTGTACAATTGTTATTGAAATATTTATAGAATAAAATTATCGACTGTGTGAAGTAACCGTATCAAAATTCGATGTAAAAGTGTGTGCGTGTATGTAAGATATATAGAGAAAGAGTTTGATGTGTTATTTGCAAGAGCGTACACAACGTATTCGGTAGATTCACTGATGTTGTAGTGTTCGACAACAACTAAATCGTCGACCTTTCTCTCTTGCTCGCTGCTTTTTTTTCGTGTGTGTGTATGTCTTTTTATTTGATTCATTTGCGTTGTGTGTGCCTATGTCTTTTTTCCCTCTATATGCGCCCGCGCGCGACTATGCATTTTATTTAATTCAGATATCTTCTGCATGATTTAAACAGAAGAAGACAAAAAAAAACAGCCCAGAGTGAAAAAGACCTGAGATGCATTTCCTTATCTCGCGCAGTCTCTTCTTCTTTTTTTGTACATATCTGTGCTTAGTTTCGTTCACTATAAATTCCAAATGTTTTCTCGTTGGACGACACAACTTCGTCCATTTCATTCTCTCTTATGCATAATACGCTGTAAAAAGAGATGAGAACTTGTTCACACACCATCCATCTATCCATCCACCGCACTCCGTGAAAAATCAGAGACTTTTACACACATATATTTTGTGTGTTGAATAAACATCAATAGCTCAAGTTCGATTGCTCTATGTGCAGCAGAAGCATCATCATCGTCGTCGTCGTTGATGTGCCGTTGTTACGTGGATATAGTATGTCTCTTCAGATATTCTTATTATATTTCATTGTTTGAAAATGTTCAGAATCGTATACATAGAACCGACAAAAATCAAAAATAACTTCTCGATATGCGAGAGAACGCATCGCTGTGTGACGTTGGAAATTGTTCAAAGTGAATCACGGAATTTATACATCGAGAATGCAAACATCAGTGTGTGTGCCTCTCTCTTTCTTATCTCTGTTGATGATGCTATGTTCTCTCCCAAACGATTCGATCGAAGCAATTATCAATGTTCGTTTGCAGCAAATGTCTTTGCTTCTTTTCGAAATGACTTTGTTGCTGTTGATTTTTTTGTTGTCGATTGCCTTTACATCATAGTTGTGCAAAATTGCGAAATGGCTCAGACGATCGTGTGTTTTTTTTTTTTGCAGACAAAGGCGTTATCGATATATGTAAATGTTCGCGCAGTATTCGAACTGTAGAAGCGCAATATCAAATGTGTGTACCTGCAAGACACTCGCACTTTTTTTGGTTCGGTGCGCGCTTCTTTCTTGTTTTATTGTTTATCTTTTTTTATCTCTTTGTCTTTCGTATATTCACAGGATAGTTTGTGTGTGTGTGTACGCGCGTTTGCGAACTTGTTATGAAGGGCCAATGATATTGTTTTTTCCGTTTTGCAGCAAACGTGTTGGCGTTGGTTTGCTTGATGACTCTCATGTATATATCCAACTGTTTATGCGAGGATTTTTGCATTTCTGTTGTGTTTGCTTGTGATTTGATTCCATTTCAAACTTATTGCACTTCGTTTTTTTTTCTTCTTCCACATCTTTTGCATTTCGTTCGGTGTGTATTCCATATGAAACATTTGCCCACGAAAAATGGTTGTTATAATAAACACGATAAACGATATATGTTCCTTTTTTTCAAAAGCGGCAAATGAAATCACTTAATCTCTCTTTCTCTGTTTGCATTCTTTTTATTTTTATTTTAAGCAAATAAATACAAAATCAAAATACGAAGAATAATAATCGGAGCTCTGAAAAATAATACACATATTTGAATTTGATTCTGTTAAACGCATTCTATTTTCTGGTCTTGTTAAGTATACCTTGGATCACTTATTCGATTGTCATGTGTGATACATTTTTTTTCATCCTTTGAATGGCTAATGAAACATTAATAAAACGCAATGAAATAAACATTTTGTTTGTGAACTAGAAATAAAAAAGTGTCGTTTTTTTTTGTTGCTCACTTTGATGCGCACTCGCTTGCGATACGAATATTCGATCGAGGTTATACTATGGAGGATTTCAGTAAATAAAAATACAAAGTGCGTGGTCTCCAACAGGAAGTGAGTAAGAGAGAGAGAGAGAGAGAGAGACATCAATTGGAGAACCTTAGTTGGTGCTATAATTTTTATATATTCGACACGAAAATCATTCGAACATACTTAGTTTGATGGCAATCCGAGGTAGACAAATGTCTATTGAATGCTATTGATTAATTTCATAACGAACTCTCTATCCAAAGAAAGATAACACACACGCTCAATTCAACCAATGAAAATTGACGATATATTCATGCTCATTTATCGATAAAGCCCATCAAAATAGCCTATATCAACGGCATCAACAACAACAAATTGTTTTCACGTCACACAAACATTTTTTTTTTGTTTATACATGAAATTCAAAAGAACGAAGAAAAAAAAGTTGTAATTATATAATTATAGTTTCCGAAGGTCAGTCGCAATTGAAAAATGTGAACAAAATCAACAAATTGAATAGCGCACAAAGTGAAATATTGAAAGCGTACGTACAATTATTCAAATGTGTTTGGCTGCTTATTTTTCTCCTCTTCGTTTATTCGTTTGTTATTTCGTCCGGGACACATCTACTATGCGTGTATATGTTAAAGCTCGTGATGGAAATGTAGGTTCGAGAGAGAATTATTGTCAATTTCGTGGCAATTTTTTGTGAATATATTGAGCACATATGCTATAAAAGAGCAATAATGAGGGAGAGAGAGAGAGAGAAAATGGTATATTAATACTATCCATTGAGCATTTATCTATATCGTATTCGTGAGATATCAACTAATATATAATTTGTAATTATTTGTTATTCCAATTCAGAGCTTTTGAGTTTATAGCAATTCTGTTATTATGATTTTTTATTAGAATTTTCTTGACAAGCTTTCGATTTTTGAGTTTCTATTCCATTTAATTCCAGTTTTTTTTTTTGTTCTGTTGTCTGAATGTTTCGAAGCAATTTCGTGTGTACAAGGGCTTTCTGAATTCACATAATTGTTTATTTCTGTACAGTAAAAAAACAATATTTGAAATAAAATCAAGGTGTGCAGAGTTCGACTGTTAAGCAATACAGCAAAAACGATAACAAATGTAGTTATAAAACTTCAAAATTTCAATAACAACTGAAAATGAATATATCGTTATTTGTTTCTATTTAACCGAAAACCATTTTTTGGGGAAAAAAAACAGAGGCAAATGTACTCCAGGAAGGCCCACAATATTCATTGAACAATTATTAAATAAGTGTATGTATGTGAATGTGTATTTTTTTCCCCGTTAAATGGCGCACACATTTTTTGCCTTCCTTGAATTGCGTATATCAAAATGCAAAACATTACAGATCACCGTTTTTTCGGTAAATTACGATTGAATTTTCATCGCATCACGCGCTCAGGTGAATATTCTAACATACTTGAATTTCATTTGACATATATTACGGCTTGTATATTATATACTTTTATATAAGTGTTTCCTATTTTTTTTTCCTGAATAATTAAATGCAGATATAAGCGAAACAAAAAAAAAACACCCAGTCACATTTGTACGTAGATACAATTCGATTATAATCAATAGTATATACCATAGAAATAAGTGTATGTAGCGAGTTACGAGCTATATTTCACTCAACGTGAAGGGTGTTTCAATAGAAGCGATTTCAAAAAGCGACACTTTGGTAATTCATCATAAACTTTGATCTGTGAAAATCATGAAAATCCATGACACTCCCCAGATAGATGTAAGAGAAAATCGATTCATCATGTTAGATCTGGACGCTAGAAATTGAAGTTGAAAATGTGGAAACTTCAAAAGCTGTCATTTTTTGTTTGATTTTTATCGTCTTAATACTTCACCAATAATCATTTCAAGCATTCAAAGTTAAGACAGTGATGTCAAATTTCATGTGGAAAGTTCACAAAGTAAGGGTTTTCGATAGGGTTTTCGATACACTTAGTATATGAATTGTCCAAACAAACCTGAATTTCAAAATACTTCCTATATTTGTCTCTTTTTACATTAAAAGTATCAATATAAAGTTACAAAAATAAATGCATTAATAAAATGGCAATATCATTGCACGCCACGGCCATTCGATTATGACGAATCAATTGTTTGAGCAAGCCATTGTCTTATCAACAAATGACAATGTTTATATATTTGCTGTGATATATGTCTGTGTGTGCAGTGAGCGCGCATTTTTCTTTTGTTCACTGATTTCGAAAATATGTGAAACTGAATGAATTTAACAAGAAATAACAGCGCACATAAATTCATTGTTTTTCTATAAATGGCCATTCATTTGACACCTAAAGCGTACAAAACATAAAATAAATGGTCTGAATCATATTAAAATGTGCTCCATATGTGTGTTCATATCGTAATGCGTCAATACAAGTAAACAGAATAAAGGTGTAAATTTCGCACCAATAAGAAGAAAAACAAAAAATCAGAGTATCGAGCTATTCATTAGAATATATGTGTCGCAAATAGCAATTATGTGCCGAACACGGCAGGTTCAAAGACAACAAACACGATCGACAAAATATCTATGTGGATATGTTTGAAAACACACACAAAAGTGAAACATTTACTACAAATCACCTGATGATAATGCGTAGTTTTCACCTTCACGTACATATATGAGTTCCATTTACAAAAAAAAAGAAGATTATTTGCGCAATTACTTTATCATTCACACCGAACCAAATAACTTAATGAGAATCTTATTCCAAATGATGTGAACAATAACAAAAAGAATTATTTCTTATCTTTTCTTCTGTTGGGTTCGGTCGGTAATAAACCGTTATATTGAACGACTTTGAACAGAACAAATTAAAAAAAACGCACATAGACTGCTTGCCGATTTTTTTTTTAAACAGTGAAACGATAATTGAAACCAGTTGTCGGCTAAATGCAAAAATTATTTGATCGCATTGACTTGGTTTTGTTCCAAATCTCTAATTCAATCGATAAAATGTGTATATGTGTGTTTGTTTGTTTTTCATTTTTTTTTTATTCTCGGCTTTTTATTTCGTCGTATTTTCACAAAATCATAATTACAACTCAATCGATTTTGTTTTTGTTGAGTGTGTGTTGATTTTGCGTTTTTTTTTTTATTTCTTCGCCGGGGTCTACGTGGTTTTATTTCTTCTTTATTTTGTTCTAATGTGCGCTATGTGCTCTCGTCAAATATATGTACGATGTGCTTGGTTTACGCTTTAAAAAAAGGAAGAATAAGACACATAAAAATGTTCATGTGTAAAGACTTTAAATCGTTATATGTATATGAATAAATATTGACGATTGTATGAATGTACGCTTCACCAACAGCACCGATATAAACTACTTTTTTTCTGTGTAAAAATAGCTCGGTAATAAATAATACGGTAACTCTTAGGCATATGTCGAAAAAAAAAATTGAAGTGAGAGATGGCAACCAAGGAATTAAAATGTACACACATCGAATCGGCAATCAGATCAAAAAACAGAGACAACGTGAGAGCGAGAGAGGGAGATTGAGAGAGGGAGGAAGAAAGAGGCGCAAACGAAAAAGAAACAAGGAGGCACAATCATCAGGCGAAACAGTACGCGCACAGGGAATGACTGTGTATAGAAGAGCGAAGATGGAAAGGGAAACAATCGAAAATAGAATTGAATATTAGTTTGAAATTAAAAGTGCCTTCAATTTTCTTTAAATAAATTAAAATGTTCAACAGAAAATAGAAAAAGTCAGCATTTAAAAATACGCAATTGAGTGCGTGTGCACTGATCAGAGTAATTCTTCTCATGACTAATGCTGTGAGAGAAACAAGGGAAAAAGAAGCGAGATATTCGTTGTCTAATGATTTCAACTGCAACACAAACAAGATCACACTCCACAATTTCATCGTTGGCCGCAACGATGATCTCCAGACTGACAGATCATTTTGAATTTTTACACGATATAGACTTTCGATGCATTATGCTTCGGTTACCATTGGATTTGCTTGGGTTATTCTCAAAGTAAGAAATATTTGAAGAAAAAAATTGCCAACTTTCCATACAATTTCATCGCTATTTGTGGAGATTCGAAAGGTCTTGGTAACTTCGGTTTTTTTTTTTTCGTTTCGAAGGGAATTCAAGGAAAAGGCAAAAAAAACGTACGCATTTTGTGTTGCTGTTGTTTTTCTGGAAAAATCGAAACATTCACCATGGAGTGATGAAATTGTATTTTTAGACATAATTGTAAATCGCATACTCTCATGTCGATCGTTAAAATTGTATGATTCTTTATTCATTTGACATCTCAACATCTCATTACAATATGTATCCACAGACTCAGTGTGATGCACTCAATCCATTATGTTAATCATGCCATTTTTTTTTCTGTTGTGCACGAGAATGAATGGAGGCTATTTAAAATAACCTTAGTATTTTATTGTTGCAATTTTTTCTTGTTGTAGTTGTGAAGGTGAAAGAGATGCCAAATAAAAATGAAGTGCATTTTTCTTTCGCAATGATTCTCCCACAAGTGCGTTGCTCAGTAACAGTAACATATTAATAATTGGCATTTTATGATCATAGCAAGAGAACAGTGCACACAATTTATGATCATTTTGTAGCGTTCGATGTTATTTGTTCGATCGACAAAGTCACAGCATTTGCCGGCGTTTTATATTTCGCCGTCTTTTGTTCGTTTTTTTTTTTTTTTTTTGGTTTTTTGCATCTTAAACATAAACCAAAGTAAAAGCGTATTTTCTGATGCATTGTTGCATATGCATGTAATTATAGGGGGACAGCGACAGAGAATGTGTGAGAGTTAGAATTCCTATGAATCGTATAAGCTTAGATCAGTTTCTGTTTGCACCAGATTTCGATTTGTCGGAATTTAGGTTATTAAATAAGATGTATACCGCAATGAAACTGACTTCGTTATTTGAAAACATTCTGAACACTTTTGTCATCATTATTTGATACGTTGATTTTTTTTCGCGAGCTCTCTACCTTTCTCATTCTGTCGCACTCGTCAAATTAAGATTCGAATTGGTAATTGTTCGTTACAATTTTCAATTTGCAGCTTGTTCATTGAGCGAATTTAATTTATTAGGTGCGTCATAACGATAAGTATACGCATATGCATACATGTCACATGTGTTATGGAAATGTTGTTCTGTTTTGGTTTTCTGTTCTACGAGATAAACAATATTTTTTGTTATTGTTGCATAAATAATTGCTGGCTATTCGACTCGAACCATTTGAAAACGAAGAAAAAAATTGATGAAAAAGGTTAAGATTCAACAATCTTGCACTTTTAAAATAGATAACCGATAAATGGCATGATATACAAAATGTTCGAGAACATGAAACGACAACGTTTGAAATGAAAATTATATAATTTGTTCTAGACATGAAGCGCTTAGCTTGTTAGAACGTATGTATGTGCGAAGCATGTGCGCTCGCGCATTTGTGCACCAATGTGCGCTCATCAATTCAATTGAATGCACATCCAGCTATCGTCGTCGTCGTGGCAGTCGCGTTGTTATTCCATTTAATATAGTCTCGATACTCATTTGCGAAAAAAAAAGATAATAATATATGCAACAACAACCGCCGCACAAATTTAATAATTATAGGTTTGATCATTGAAAAGAAGGTAAAACTAATAGACTGCAGGACAGTCACATGATTTGTATGGAACGGACCGCACCG